GCTCTGTCACGGAGCAGTCCACAGTGGAATTTGATCTGAAACCCGCCTTCACGCCGAGATTTTCTCATCAACAGGAACATGCCCCGCATCGTAGCGACGTGACTGAGCGCACTGCAGAGGCAGGTCTCCCGCGCAGTGCCGTCAATGGCATGGTTGACAAGAAAACTGGGGAGTACTCAACTTCATGCTTGATTATGACGTAGGCAAAACGGAGTACAAGTTATTCCGAATCAATCCATCTGATGATGCCACCTGCCTTCGATTCGGCGCTTCTGCGACGCTTGCACCGGACGCAGAAACGATGTCGCACCTTCTCTACACTGTGCACCGTGCGCTGCGGTCGAGCGTGTTCGCGTGCCGAAGGAGGATGTGTTCCGCTTGCATTTCAACGAGAGGGTGCCAATGGAGCGCGAACGCGTGAACGCACGCAGGTGTCGCCTATCCGCGGCGGGAGTGCTGCGCGGCACCATCGCGTTCGCCACCGAGGCCGGCTCGCGATACCGTCGTGCTCGCCAACGAGGCCGGCTCGCGGCACTACGACACCACCATCGAAGTGCTAGCCCTAGGCTGCTCTACTATGGCGAGTGTACTCGCTCGAGGTCAAGCTGGGCATCAACTTCGAGAGTTTCGAGATTTGCGAGCGAATTTCACGAGGAAGTTTTGGGGGGCTCGACTTCGAGTACAGGGGGTACAGAGACTACAGAATTTATATTCAGCAGTCTCTGTAGCCCCGTACCCATACCTTCCCAAGAATAAAGAGCAAAACTGCATCAGGTGGCATTCCTCTGTTACTTGGACCAATTAAATTGCACGGAATGGAATTTGGAGAGTTCGACCGATTCTTCACCAAGGGTTTCTCGCGCGGCCCAGGGATGTGTTCCGGGCCAAAGCGCGCGAATGCTGCCTGAGCTCATCACTTCCACCGGACTTGCACGTCCGGTAAGAGCATGCTCTTCTCCAAATCGAGCAGCTGCTCGATCTTGACGAGATCCTCTTCGCATAAGCATATCTACTCGCATATCTGCAGCTCGTATCGTGGCCGAGTGCATCCCGGGTTACACCGCTTCCCAACTCAAGCGCAGTTCATTCTCGCCGTGTACTTCCTCCTCGCAACCGCACACAACCCACTTCTCTCCATCGGTCTCTCTTGGTTTTGCCTACCTACGCCCTCCCTCGACCTCCTTCACCCTCCCTCCCTCAACCGCCCTCGAAAACCCTGTCTCTCAGCTCCGCGATTTCAAGGGCAATAAAGTTGCTGCTTGTGGTGCGAACGGGGGACTATCTCGAAAGAACTCGTCAACAAATTGGCTACCGTGTTTTCGACAGCGATGATGTTTTGTTTTGTCACATGCTATGTGATCGTACTACGACTCATCTGTACCGGACAATGGTCTCGTGACAAGCGCAAATGGCTTTGTATACCTTCTGTTGCACGAGATGGAGCTCTTTCTGGTTGTGGGGAGCACGCGCGGGCTAGCGTCTACAGCGTGGTTGACTGTAAAGATGGTTATTCTCCGGTCGAGAGGCTACATTCGTATGCGGCTCCTCACCTTGTTTGACCCTAAGTTGAGGGTTGTCGACATGGGCGGCTCGCAATGGGTGACATCACCTCTGGACCGAACGAAGCAAGGAGTAATGAACCCTCCCCCGTTAGGGCCAGAGGTGACGTTTGAACCCGTCCCCTTAGTTGGACCGGGAGCCGAAGCCCGAAGCCCAAGGAAGGAGTCGGAGCCGAACTAATTTTCTTCCGGCTCCAACGCCGCTTCAATGCGGCGCCAGTAGCGCCGGATGCGACGCAATGCCATGGAAAGGCTGAAAAGGGCAATTTAGACACGCACAATCGCGTAAATGATCATGCACAGGAGCTCTATGTCTTTTGACATCATCGTGGATGTTGGTGGGGTGGTAGGGCGTTGCGACTCTGATTCTACACCTCTTATATAGAGTTTTGGAGGAAGGGCGCATTGCAACGAAGGACTGGTTCAACGCGGGAGGCGACATGTGCAGAATGAGGGAGGCGAGATGTTAGGGAGGGCCGACAGTCAAGCAACCGGGAAAAAGAAACCTGAGCTTTATTGAGAACAGTTCAATGAGGTTACTCTTAGTGCTGCAGATAGCGATTGGAGGCATCGTCCGGGTCTTCCGAGTCTTGGTCCGCTACGTTGCACGTCTCAAGTCGTTTGGCGAGTAGCCGCAAACAAAAATCGACTGCGCTGAAGATGATGTTGATACGTTTCATCCACTTCTCTGCCTCAAGGATGAACGCGAGGAGGGCATGGAGATTTTCAGTGAACTTCATAGTGATGTTGAAGTGTGTTTAGAGATGGTGGTAGGATGTCAGGGGTGAATGGGAAGTCAAACTATAGAAAAGACTTTAAGTCTCAATTGAACCTTAGCTTTATTGCGAACCTTGTGGCTACTCTTGATGCTCCAGGTCCCAATCGGAACCGTAATCCGGGTCTTGGTCAGCCATGTCGCGCGCCTCTAGCCTTTGGCGATGTACCGCAGACAAATAGCCATCATCGTGAGGAAGACCACGATGTGGCCTAGCCACTTTCCCCCTCACCGAAGAATGAGAGTTGGGCTTGGAGATTGTCGGTGATATTCATGTTGACGTTGAAGTGTATTCAACACAAGTTGAGGGATGGTAGTGAAATTTCTGGGAAGAGGGGGTATGTCAGAGTCAGCTGAAGCATTGTCCGGAGAATAGCGGGGTAAGTGGCGAGAGCGGGTGAAGTTCATGTTGAACTGGAAAACGATAGACGTTGTTCATGTGAGCAACGCATGTGACTATGCATTCAGATCGTGGGGAGGGACTTTACTGGACGAGGTTGAGCTCCAGTACCGCTGTGTATATCACCACCGCCACTGTGACCATCAATACGTGAAAGTTCCACTCAGAAGAGCGCGTCTGGTCTTCTTGCCTCACAGAAACTTCCACCTCATGTCCCGATACGGTTTCGCACCCACTCTCGCGCGCGCCGCCTCGAACAGCGACATCGTAGATCTTAGTCGCTTCTCACGGAGCTGATGCTCGGACCGGTCCACGACGCCAAATCTCTTTGACTGAGCGAAGAGAAGGACTTCTTCCATGAGTTTTGTTGGTTCCGTGCCCTCTTTTCTACAATCTTCGAGGCAAACACGCGCAAATAACCCAAACTCCGTCGCTAACTCCTCGTCAAACAACAGACAAACCATCAGGAAAATGTTATCGTTCTTAGCAGCTTCGATTACTGCCTCCATCTTCTTCTTGTGCGTGATGCCCTCTCAAGCGGAACGATAAGATGAAACCAGATCTGAAGGTCCAGTGACACGGTTGTTGATGTCAGCAGTGACGTTCTCCATCCTTACAGACGAAACTGGCCTGTCTCCAATGGGAGAATGTTGCGGACTTTGCGTTTGTTCGTCAATACCAGCTTGACGTATCTCTTCGGCTCCATCAGAGACATGGGAGAACGATCGATTGCATTTCGAACAATGCGTGTTGGTGGAGTTACCGTTAGGAACCGGCGGGCAGGTGGTGTTCACTGGACGGTAGCCCTCTATCATCACCTTGCAAAGGTTGTATGCCTCTTCGATATCGTCGGTTATCAATGCATTCTTGGAGCAAGCCAATTGAAGCCACGCCTTAACGTCACTCATTTCCGTCATTCGCCGGGAAACATGTGGGAGACGGCATCCACCGTACTTCTTAGATTTTACGGGCAGAATTGTCTGTGACGAATCACCACGTGAATATGCCTCTGCCTGGATCTGCCAATGCCACAATAGACGCATCTATCACTGGATCTGACGTAGACATGAAGCGTCGTAAGGATCCCGGTCAAAAGGATCCAGAAAACCGCCTGGATAGCGTTCACAAGTTTATGTCAAAAAATACGCGCGCACTGCAAACACAGAAACAACTTGAGCAGGTTAGTATTAGATCATCAACATTCGAACTTCTTCCGAGGAATAAGTCGCGCACTGGGGACGTTAAAATGTTCGACCTCAAGTCCTGAATATTGAGACCAGCTGTTTAAGAATAAAAGTCGTGGTCATCGGAGTTGCGAGATAAACATTAGATCAGATGCTTCTACCCCCGGTACCAGTTCAAAACTTTGAACACTGCAAGGTACTATAATACTCCACACTTCCAAGGGTTTTGCATTAGGTCTACGAGCGATTAGTGAAGGGGACATCTGTATCAAAGATCAGACCATTACAACGCGTACGTGCCCTGATTCAGCTGAAGTTACCCATCGGATATTGGGTTGAAAGGGTGAAGACGGGGGTGGAAAAACTCATCTTGCTCCACAGCCCCGTTTTGGTGAACACCCTTCACCCAAACATGTGGCAAAAACTTCGTCAGATGCTAACATTGAAGGCAGGCCCCATTCTCTTGCTCTTGGTAGGACTGGATCGGTGGCCCGACAGAGACTACCACTTTGGGAGGACATTGCGCGCGTGGCAATTACGAGTCCCGGCCAAGTGTACAGTGTCCAATGGGCACTGCCCAAAATCAGATTTCGCCAGGGGCGGAATCATGAACCCCGATTGTTACAAAACACTGGCAAGAATAGTCTTCTTTTTGGAAATTATTCCTAGTTTTAAACGTTTCCGGAAACTCTTTCGGAAAGTTGCAAAACCTCGAATAAGAACCATCTAAAACTTTCGCGAAAGCGTTGCTGAAAAGCTCCATCTTTTACGTAAAGCAGGCAAAAAGTGACTTGGTTTCTAGAAAACGAAGCCTGGAATATGTCTTATTACAGTAGAATCATACGCCCAAGGCGAGCGTTCCACCTTCCACCGATGATATGGCCAATAAAAATTCAAGCCAGAAATTAGCCAGGCACTATCATCTATCCACAAAACGATCGGTACTCCCAATCCACCGTGACCATTCTCTCACGGACCAAAGGTCAATTTGGTCACCGTCGTTATCACCCACATTCCAGTATTCTCATGAAGTTCACTCTTACATATACACAGCACCGATAGGGGTGCTCTTATCGCTAGGTTCAATGTTCTTGAGGTTGATTGTGATTTTCGGTAGTAGTTTGGTGCGAGGTGTCTGACGTCGGACTGTTGCCTTGGCCGGGATCGCAATCGTTTGAATCACAACACTTGCCATCTTCTTGCCCTTTCTCCGTTACAGCCACTTCGCCCTTCTTGCCCGAACGACCTTCTTCTATTTCGGCGGAATTGTCATCCTCGCGCAAGTCTGTTCGCTGCCCTTCGCGCCCTAGCACAAGTCCGCTGACATCTTCCCGCATTTCGATGCTGTTGTACCACCCCTTCGGACCGACTAGAGAGAGTAAGATTGGCCCTAGTATCAATCCATGCAGAACTGCCAGGATGAGGAGTGAGAATAGACCCCAGAACAGTGTTCGAAAAATATACGATCTAGACATCCCTGGCACCAGGATTGAGAAAAAAGTACTCATTCCAGCATGAAAGATGGACGGCCCGAGTTCCTGCAATGCTAAGACTGCGCGTTCCTTGCGTGTTCCAACTTGATCTTGAAAGGAGCGTCCAATGTGAAGCACGAAATCCACACCGATTCCAACTGAAACAGTAATGACGATTAAGGTTACAGCGTTCAAGTCATAGCCTGTAAAGTGACAAATCCCGATGACATCAACGACAATGAGCCCAACGAGTGTGACACAAACTGCTCCAATTATCGGATGTCCTGATAAAATGGAACATACCACAAACACTGCTCCACACGCTATCCCAGTCGCAATTGCCATTTCCGTTCTTAACACTGCGTATTGCTCTGTGAGAAGGTCTGTGTCAGAGAAAGAAAAGACCTCGTCACCCGACAAAACTTGCTGTAGTTCATTTCGAATGTCCGTCATGGCTTTTACCTCTTCTCGAACGCTCTCGACGTGCTTCCTCGTGTACGAAAACCGAGACGCTTTTATCGTCCTATCTCTCTTCAGGACTACTTCATTGCTGTAAAGGAAGCGTGGATTGAAACCAAAAAACTCAATGACATCTTCCACGAAATCCTCGGACAGGATGACATTCTGAGAGTCCGGGATATTTTTAGCTTCTCTTAAAGCGTGGAGCCAACATGACACAGAACCCTCCTCAACCCACTTATTTCGTGCTATCAATCCTGTTGTTGGGTGGCACAACCTTAAGACCAGTTCTTGTGAATCTGTCTTGGAAAAATCGACGCCTCTGACATAAACATGAGCTGGTTGTCCCACATTGAAATTCTCAACGAAAGTCTTGGAAAACTTCCATGCGGGTGTCTGGTGCATATACAGGTGATAAGAGTCGAACTTGACAGACAATCTTGTTGTGCCCCAGATCCCTGCACCTGAAAGAATCCCGAAAAGAACAATGACAACTGCCGAAATTGATGGGCGAGTAATGAACGGCCCAAGTATATTCCTAAAGAACCGACTCATCGCTTGAAACTGCAAGCCAGCGAAATTTTTTTCTGGAATCTTGTTTGCCCTTCTATACAAGCAGTAGATGTCTTTCTGGCCCTTTTCAATCCTCCTTTGGTCAAGGGCTAGGGCGGCCACGAAAAATGTAGATGTATATATAAATGTCAGGACGACGCCAATCGCTGCCCATAGCGCGAACGAGCGGAACCCACGCAAGCTGGTGGATGCAGAGGCTAAAAAGACAGCCGTATTAGTGGCAGTGGTTGTTAGAATGGAAGCTCCCGCCGAACTCATGGCCTGCCCAATCTTATCAGGAACGGAGTCGCCTGTACCGTCTCGCTTCAAATTGCGATCGACATGGGCAAGAGCTCTGGTGATAACCATAATATCATCGATCCCAATGCCGGTGAGAAGAAGCAACAAGACATAGTGGACAGAGGTAAATGGCAGCTTTAGAAGAGCAGCAAGCCCAATCGTTGCCCCAATAGCCAGTGCGCAAGTGAGTATAGCCACTAGACCAAGGCCTACTCTGCTGTAGACGGGGTGGAGCTCACCAAGAAAAAAACATACGTAGGCAGTGAGGAGAAAAAATCCAATAGGAAATAACACCAACTCCTTATACGCAGCAGTTTCTGACGAATCGTGTCGTGACCAGCGGCAGTCAGGAAGTGCAGTGACTGAAAGGGAGTCATCGTCATTCTGAACGCGAACTGCCTCCAGCCAGGAACGATCAAAAGCATCGAAGTCAGGATTAGACAAGACTTCTGCATTCTTCTCGGTTGGTTCTTCATAGAAAAAAGTATGGAAGACCAGGGCGACGACCCTCCCGTCGCCGTTTCGGGCGACGACATTGTTCATGTTACTCGGTAAACCATTCCAAGAGACGCCTTTACCCTGATTGAGATGACGGCGGACGTTATCGTCAGTCATGATTCGCAGCTGTGCATCAATGGTATCAAAAAAATGAGGATTTCCGTCAGAATCTCGGACGAGCTTGGAGGCATTGTAGAAGACGTCGAGGAAAGAGAGGGAGAAACAAAAAGGATTTCCTTCTTGATCAAATGCCTTGACACATCGTTCCCTCCAGAAGTTCCCTTCTGCTTGTCGGCTGCTAGATGTATCGACCCGAAAAGAGCGACTAAGAAACTTCACCATGTCTCTGAGAGCTGGCTGTGAGTCAAGCGGTATCGATGGATTGATAGAGTCTCGGTTTCGGAACAGAAGAGAGGAACGCCTGTCAGGGAGGCCGAAGTTGCGGCGGACATAGCGTCGGTATTGCGCTGCTAGAGCATTTGACGGAGAGTAGACCTTGTCAGCCGGAAGAGAGGAGTCCAGGCGGAGCACAGCGACAAGAAGAATCGGGGAAAGACAAAAAAACAATATGAGGGTACGATAAGGGTTACGCGCGATACGGTGGGCAAACCGATAGAAGAAGGCGCGGAGGTACGCGGAAATGGATAGTGAGAATCTGGAAAAAAGGTGGAGCACGAGAACCATAGGGGATCACAGCTAAGGAAGTGAAGGCGGTATTGTAGAAGCACCAGAGGCCCTACGTAACCCGTACTTCGATAAACAAAGCTGGTGCGAATATTGCTAACCACCCACTCGGGACAGAATTCTTCGGAAAACCAGTTGCATTGTTGTAGTGGAGCTACATATGATTGTGGTGTCAGGATCCTCTCAAAGAATCATTCATTATGTGGCAGAAAGAAACTGGTACCGAATCACAACAAGATTTTCTAAGCGAAGAAAATCGAAGGCGCAACTCGAAGGTGCAACTCGAAGGTGCAGCTGTCTGCGTTCAGGGTTTCAATGAAAACATCCCCAAAGCATACAGTACTCATCGTGTGAAAACTGCCAATGGTGGAGGGCTGCAGATCTCCCGTCCTTGTTGCTTTCTAAAGCAACATCTCCCGTCCTTGTTGCTTTCTAAAGCAACAAGGACGGGAGATATGCAGCCCTCCACCATTGGCAGTTTTCAAATCAATCACTTTGGCAGTTTTCAAATCAATCACTGATCCACAACTACTAAAATCGGTGTCTGTGTGTCTATTGGTCTGTGTGTCTGAGCGTCTGTCGGTTCCCGCGTTGGCATTGGCGCACGGGGGCGGTGGTGACAAGTGGCGGCCGCGTGCGGGGCGGCGTGGCCGCCACGGGGACACGTGGAGAGAGCGGCGCGGGGCCGCCATCAGAGACACGTGTGGGAGGCGGGGGGGGCCGCGGGGCGACCTGGCCTGCGGCCAGGCCGTCTCGGTTGACACGTGTCGCCTTTTTATTTTCAAACGGGTCTACATGCACTACCCTTGGTAGCCCGCCCTTCCTCACCTGTCCGCCCCTTTCTGTATGCGACACAAGCGCACTCCGCCCTCAAGGAAGCGAAGTGGAAGCGCGGTTGTGGTGAGTGGGGATGTTGGGATCGGGGCTGTGCTGGGTGCTGGCTTGGTGGGTTGTGATGACCATGCTGGAATGCACGGGAAGGTGCTGGAAACGACTGCGGAAGAAATTGGTCAATGGTTGCACGGGCATTTGTTGAGGCTCATCACGACGAGCATGCTGCATCTTTGTTCCTCTGCCGGCGCTTTAGTCTTCGGAGAGAATTTCAACTCGATGAGTATAGCATAGAAGAAGACAGCAGGCCAAGGGCGTGAAGAGGTGGGTGCGTGGCGATACCGTTGGGTCCCTGCGGGGGTGTGGGAGGACAGGTTGGTATAAGTATGGCAGGGGATGCGAGGAGTGACAGAGACCGGAAGCGCAGACGGGAAGGTATTGAGAGAAACAAGGCGTGCCGCTACTGCTGCGCGAGCGCGCTACGTCTGCTTCGCCAGAACCAACTTCTGCGCCGCGTGCCACCCGCGCGACGACGCCCGCGCGTGGTAGGCCGCCACTCCGCAGCCCGTCGAGTGCCCCGGCGCGGGCATGTGCGAGACGCCCATGCCGGACGGGGAGGCGCGCCAATGGAACGGGGCAGGCGGCTAGTGTGAGCTGCTGCTGGAGTGCGCGATGTACGAGAGCGGCGAGGCGGAGGAGGAGGAGGAGGAGCGCGGGGCGACCCTGGTGTACAACGCGAGTGGGCGGGAGGGTATGGACGGATGGGAATGCGTGGATGGGGGGAGGGCGTGGACGGGTGGGGGAGCATGGACGGGCGGTGCGCGATGTGCGAGAGCTGGTGGGAGGGTATGGACGAATGGGAGTGCGTGGACAGGGGGAGGGCGTGGACGGGGGAGGAGCATGGACGGGCGGTGACATGGACGGGCGGTGACATGGACGCGCATGGTGTTTGCGGCGCGGTAGAGCGTGAGAAACGTGACGACAGTGGTGGCGGGGAAGGATGAACGCTTATCCTCGCGGACTTTTAGGGCCTCCTTTAAGACAGCATGGACGGTCATGTTTGGACATGTATGGACGTCGGCCTGCACCTGATTGGTCTATATAATACTTTTCTTAACAGTATGATGGCGCACACAATGTTAAAATAATAGCTTCCATCATTACCAACGTGCCATGCAAAACAAAATCATTGGCTATCGCTACTGGATAAGTGTGAATGAATTCAATCTAGATCCAATTTTGCACATATCAAAATCCAGTTTAATCAGTGACACGCGGTCACGCGATTTTGAACCCGCCATTTTGCCGCGTCTACGTTCCCCAGCTCCTCCCCGCCCCGCCCTGCACAGCTCGCCGCCATGCCCTCACCCGCCTTCCTCCTCGCCTTTCTCCGCGCCCTGCCGCTCTGCCTCTCGCAGGGCGCGCCGCGGCTGCGCGTGCGGCGCGGCTTCGACGCCTCGCCCGCGTGCGCCGCCATGCGCGAATGAAGCAGAAGGGGTCTGGCGAGCTGCTTGCGGAGCAGAGTTGCAAGGGGGACTTTCGGGTTTCTGGCGGCGTGCAAGCGCGGGCGGGGAGACGAGATAATGGCGCTGACGCGTGGAAGTGCGTAGCTGGCGCGGGCGCAGCGGCGGCACAAGCCGTAAGCGCGGGCGTTGCGAACGATCAACGTGGTGAACGTGCGCGTGCTGGACGGGCGGTTTCAGAACAACTACCCCGGCGCGCGCGGGGACGTACGAGGAGTGAGTGTGCAGCACGCCGTGCGCCACGACGGAGAGGGGTGGCGAGCTGACGTTGGACGTGCAGGACCCGAATACTGGGATAACGTCGATGGCAGACCGGGCGACAGTGCGGCTAGGCGACCGGTACAGGAGCTGGGTGTTCTTGCTCAACCTCGCGCTCAAGCGGACGGTGCGGGCCAGGCGGCTGAAGGTGAACGCGGGGCGGTGTGGGTTCGGACACAGGTTTAGAGGGGGTTTATACGGACGTGAACGGGAAGGCGCTCAAGGACGGGCCGGGGCCGGACGCCGTGGGGCAGTTCATGAAGTCCGGGTTTGTTGGGGGCATCCCCGGGAAGTTTAGTCCCGGGGAATATGGGAGGGGCATGTACCATGCAGGGATGGAGCAGAAGTTCATCTTGCCGCATGGATATGGGATCAATCATTACGTCAACTAGGCGCAGCTAGAGGGCGGTTTGCAAGCGGTTGCGGGGCGAGGAGGTGATCGTGGGGCGGATGGTGAGAGGTATTTTATTGTGGAGCAATGGTTGGGCATCGGGTGTATTGTACTCGGTGTGGGATGAGTTGTGGGTTGGTTTAGATGGACAGTGGATGTTGGTTAGATGGTTGTCGGTGAGGGTGATGCGGAGTTGGGCGAGCAGATGTAAGGTTTGTAAAAGGTGAACGGAAGTGAATGCGGAGCGCCAGAAACCCGAAAGTCCCCCTTGCAACTCTGCTCCGCAAGCAGCTCGCCAGACCCCTTCTGCTTCATTCGCGCATGGCGGCGCACGCGGGCGAGGCGTCGAAGCCGCGCCGCACGCGCAGCCGCGGCGCGCCCTGCGAGAGGCAGAGCGGCAGGGCGCGGAGAAAGGCGAGGAGGAAGGCGGGTGAGGGCATGGCGGCGAGCTGTGCAGGGCGGGGCGGGGAGGAGCTGGGGAACGTAGACGCGGCAAAATGGTGGGTTCAAAACCGCGTGACCGCGCGTCACTGTATGTCACCGTAGTGGGCACTGGGCGGCCTCTGATTGGCGCCCGACGGCTACGGTTTGAGGCCGTGAGGGGTGCGGGGAACCGTTCCTGTGCACACGCTTCTGTAAGCGAGTTCGCATTTGGGGGACTACAGCGCTCACTCATTTTTTTGGCGTAAACCCTCTAATAGAGTGTTTACGTTATGGACCGATTCAGTTATGGGACCAACCCCTGTTTATTGCGACAGCCCTGTCGCAGCAAGTACTGCACTACGATGGAATCTGTTTATATCAATACAAACATCTCGGCGGTGCTGTTCAAAGGACCGCCGGCTTGCCGGCTTGGTTTCATATCTTCAGGAAGTCTGAAACTGGAGTTGTGATAAAGAAACCCGAAAGGCCCCCAAAAAAATTGTCGCAAAAGTCGCGCACAGGGTTAATCGAATGAATCGCTCTGGAAGAAAATTCAGCAACTCTGTTCTCACTGGCGCCGGATTGCCCATGAGACACACGAGTTTACTCGAAAGCCTATGCTGGTAAAAGTTGTGAAGAACTCTCCCTTCCTGTTCTGCCGCTGAAAATTCGGTGCAGCCTCCTCGCACGAGTTTCTGGTTCGCCCAAACCGTCTCGACTTAGTAGAGGACCAGGTTCCCATGATACGTCAAAGAAGTCATCTCGCTCCATCAACTCAAACGGAGCCGCTGCTTCTGAGATTCCCAGAGCCTCCGACACATAGAGGCCAGCCATTTCCGCCATCACCACTGGTTTAAGTGAATGCCGGAGATACATGAGCAGAGAGAACGCCGCCAACAAAATGAAAGTCAGCGATAACCAGTTTAGCACACGAAACTTCTCCCGCCATATCACACCCTTGTTCTCAATCGTGCTTCCGCTTGGGAGCATCAAATCTCGCGTGTTTGGCCCAACAACAGCCATCCCAATAGAGCCTTTGAAAAACGTATCCGCGAAATTCATTGCTGCGTTGCCTCGGGGTGACACTGCCGTAAACCTCGTTGTGTATCGCCGTGAGGGTACTTTCAGTAACCGTTTCTCTCGATTGACGACAACCACATCCACTCCATCACCTTCTGAGACATCAAAAGTGAAATCGATTTCGTTCAGGCGCTTCACATTCATACTGTCGTCTTTTGTGCTTAATCGATAGGTGGAAAACAAGAAAGCAACAAATTGTCTGTGGACCGCACTGATTGTTCTCTCTCGGGAAGCGCTCATGTCAGACTTGCTCATGAGACGCCCTTTTCCACTTGTTTCAAAGGCATCGCTAATACGTTCTCCAAACTTCCCGAGTCTGAAGTAAGCCTTCGCTGAGTAGTTGTTATTCTCGCTCCCAATTCTGAGAAAATGGTTGCTGCCAAACCGGTGAAGATCTGACCGAATTTCCACATCGACCGGGTCAGTGACACTCTGAAAAGAGTCTGTATTACGGTTCACAGTAGCCGTGACGCATGTGCTAAGGATAGTGTTGCTCTGGACAACACCCTGCAGAGATACGCTGGTGCAAGGAGGGTTGATGCTGGTTTTCGCTGCCTGGTATATAGGGTCAAAATTCGGATTTAGCGGTTCGACAATTCGGAAGGTGGCGACGTCATTGAGAACTTCCCGTTCTTCTGGGTTTGTTAAAAACAATACCAAAACTTCAAGACCGAATGATGCAGTGAAAACGAATAGCGCAACGAAAACAAGCCGAACAGTCAGGCCTCTCTGACTCTTGACTCGGAAGAGAGATCTGAGTTTGAATTCACGTGCAAGGTTTGATAGGTGGTTGATAGAGAAGCTGAAAGTGGAGACGGCACCTTCCCTCGTTCGTAACAAGAAGCCAGTTACAACTCCTTCTATGGTCAGAAGGAGAAGCAGCGAGAGAACGGCAACGATAACATCGTCGCGGTCGGTGAGATCTTTAGAGAAAATGCCAGTCACCTGAAGAGAGACTTGCATTTCACCTTGCAGAAAGGAAGCGATGTCTTTCTTGGTTATGGAAGGGGGCAAGACGTCCGATTCAGAAGGGACGAGAGAGGCGTAGTTGACACCGTGCATTTCAGAAAAGAGCTCACGAAACTCTGAGCGAGGCATTGCAGAAAGGTCAGTTGGGGGTTTGCGGATTGCGACCTGAAAATGCGTTCACTGCAGAGGCGAATTCGACTGACGAGGTGCGTGAGATAGTGCGCGATGGACTGAGTGGGGGCTATGGTTTGAAGGGGGAGATGACAAAGTGCTCAGGCAGAAATCGCATGACGGGTTTGGTCACCAGTACTGCAAATTGGAGTACTCCAGGAAGACAAGGAAAAGGCAGTGGCAGAGGGAGAGTGGCTATTTCAGAGGGAGAGAGGTGTTCTCCCCTACTGCTAAGACAAAAGAAGGGGCGCAGTTAGAGAGCACTGTACTGTACCAAGGGTACTGTAACCTGAAGTCGTGGATTCGACACACAGGATTACACCTCTATTCTTGGGCAGCAGGCTCAAAAGCAATGACGTTGCGAAATGAAGTCCTCCTGATCAGAATGGCTTGTCGCACTATATTTTTTATTTCTGCCATATTGATACGTACTGATGTCTTAATGCAGGGACAGCGTGTAGTACGGTTTTATAGAGGCCTAAACAAGCTTGTCCCGCATAGCTGGAGTAGAGCAAAGCTTATACTGCCGGATAGGAACTATATAAGAGCGGTATTCTTCGACCATGCGCTATTCCGGTGCGGACATGCATGCCCTGCAACGCATGAAGAGCATTGCAAATGTGTAAGACCATCTTTCGTAGCCTCGCCTATTTAGCAGGCCATGATACAGTACTGAAGTTGCAGTACCCTTGGGTTCGTCACCTGTATGCGCGCACCCGTTAACCAAACTCTTCGAGTCTCCTGTCCCCGGATTATTGCGACTGCCACCCAGCGTCAAAGGCCTTTTCTACAACATCCCGCCTCCGCATCCATGCCTTGCTGCCAACACCGGACTTTCCATTTTAACGAATTGATGACGATGCTTGTCGAATCGCTCAAGCACTGTGTGGCGTGCTGCTGATCTTAACTCCTCGAAAAACTTTCTGCGAAAGTCTGCCTTGCAATTGTGTGCCTTGCAATTGTGTGCCCTTCGTCCCCCTTCCGTGTGCACCAATAGAGAAATTTTGTTCTTGATAGGGTGAAGTTTCCCACACTCCCAGCAACTCTCTCGATTTCGTCTTCATTCGGCAAGTCGCCCAGTGCAAACCATTTGTCTGGGCAAGACCCAACGTACTATGTATTACGAAGAATTCGACGACCAAGGCTCCTCGTTCTTTATCTTCAGGGATGGCGGACAAGATTTAGGTTCTATAGCTGATATTCAGGTTCCAAAAGGGGAGGGAACTGCCTCGTTTCTGCGGGAAGACTTGAGGGTCGCCTCTAAAGTGGGGAATACGTTTACCAACGATTTGACAGGGCAAGATGACGTGCTGGTCGCTGTACTATCTCTCATTCTTCTCCTCGTCATCCAAGGAATTGTTTCCACTGTTTTGCTGCGCACGCGCGACGGAAAGGTGTCTACCTTCAGTTTTGCTGTCAAGCAGGTGGTGGAACTTGCTCGTGAGTTCAGACTGAAGAGGATCTGGGAGGGCCCGAAAGTGGGAGAGACATTCAACACTAGGTCTAGGAGGAACAGGATTGACATTCGGTTAGTCATAATTGCAATCGTTGTAGTCCTCGGCACATTCGGGCTTGAGGTACTTATTTTGTTTCTCACCGAACGTGAAGGCCGCGGTGTCACAAATCGGAGAGTCGCATTGAAATTGGAATATCCATTCAATCCGGACTGGGGGGCCGTACGATTTCACAACCGCGCATCCCTCAATCGTCCTTGCCTAGCGCTGGCGCTCTTGGGTGATGTTGACCAAGGGAAGAGTCGCATTACTACCTGTGTAACAACAAGCTTGGGGACAGATGCTTTCGATAAGTTCGAAAATGCGACAGAAATACAACAGCTTTCGATCCTCAGCGACGTTCACGAATATGGAATAGATCATGCTGTGCAGATTGGGGAAAAAGAGGCTGCCAGCTACGAGGCGCGGGCATTCTTTAACCTCGGTGATCAAAGACAGAGGATCATGAGCCGGGATGGCGAACTGCCCGATGCGACCCCCGACAGGATGAGAGTTATGCACAGGCAATATTTAGCCATTCTTTTCAACACGTACAAGCAAGAGATAGACGATGAGGCGATGAATCTGGAGAGATTGCAAGAAATCGACGGAAGCATACGATTTGCAGAAGCCGAGGGGGTGGACATCCCGATTGTCACGGCTTCAGATGGTGATGAAACAAAAGTTTTGAAGGCGTCCAAATCTCGGCGATTCTTCTCACAGGTCAATGCCACGCTACCCTTCGGTAGAGCTGCGTTGCGGGCGGCGCAACCGGTGTTTAAAAGCTGCATGGCTGTGCAAGTTCGTCTATGGAATTCACGGGATTTGTTCGCGAACGGGATAAAAGAGGATGCCGTCGCGGAAATCTGGAGCGAACAAGTAAGAATTATCAATTGGCTCTCCCTGGCCATAATCTTAGGGGTTGCCGTTTTCATTCTAGGCCTGCTTCGGCTTCTTCTAAAACCAGTAGCGACGGCGGAGATTGCGGCGTTGTTTGTGAGGGACGCGGTCGGGGCACAGTTGGACCGACCTGGAGCGCAGACCGGGGGGAATGAGAGATCCCGGTTCCTACCGCACCGTCGGCCACGGAGCGGTATGCAGGTTACGGGGATGGAGCCCAGTCAAGATAGAATCACAGGCGACTCGTTTTCAGTTCCGATGAGCAGCTATTCTAGTGTGCCGGTCGATATGGGTGAGGTCCACAGGATGGACGGGGCCGGGTTGCGCGGGACGAGTGGAGACTATATTTTTCGCAGCGCCGGTATCTCGCATCATAGGCGGATGGCGCAGAGCTCGGCGGATACTTCCATGGAGATGGACGGACTTAATGGTGGGGTCAGCGGTAATCATCGCTGATGTGGAGCACCATGACTAGGGTCTAGTGTCCATCGGGACCGTTAGTCGTGGACAAGTTATTTTATTGTTTCTAGACAAGGCAACTCGCGATTTCACTTTTGTTTTTGAAACCAGAAGGCTATCACCACAGGTGAAGCATTTGGTTGTCGATTCTTGGAAGTGTCTATCCGACCAGGACATTCTTTTTGCAAGAATATATAAATTAAATTAAACATTAATGAAGCTATCTTGGACACTGCTTCCTTAATTAACGCACTTGTTTCGCCAATAAACTGGTTATCGCTGACTTTCATTTTGTTGGCGGCGTTCTCTCTGCTCATGTATCTCCGGCATTCACTTAAACCAGTGGTGATGGCGGAAATGGCTGGCCTCTATGTGTCGGAGGCTCTGGGAATCTCAGAAGCAGCGGCTCCGTTTGAGTTGATGGAGCGAGATGACTTCTTTGACGTATCATGGGAACCTGGTCCTCTACTAAGTCGAGACGGTTTGGGCGAACCAGAAACTCGTGCGAGGAGGCTGCACCGAATTTTCAGCGGCAGAACAGGAAGGGAGAGTTCTTCACAACTTTTACCAGCATAGGCTTTCGAGTAAACTCGTGTGTCTCATGGGCAATCCGGCGCCAGTGAGAACAGAGTTGCTGAATTTTCTTCCAGAGCGATTCATTCGATTAACCCTGTGCGCGACTTTTGCGACAATTTTTTTGGGGGCCTTTCGGGTTTCTTTATCACAACTCCAGTTTCAGACTTCCTGAAGATATGAGCTTTGAATACGCAGAAAAGTTAATAATGTAACGCAGATTGAGGACATACAGTTCCCTTTTAAAATGAGGGGTTTCCTTTCGAAGTTAATTCACATGCAGTTTTAAGGTGGTTCAAAAAAGCTTCTTTCCCAGACATATCTAAAAACGACCAGGATGAATATGCAATTCTCACAAACTTGTTTCTGTCCCCAAGTCAGAAGTCAAGTACAATGGCGGGGGTATATTTTTCTTTCTTGTCGGGGAATAATATCCTCATATGCGGACAAAGGTCCAATAGAAGACACTAGTGTCTATTATCCCAGCGATTTGGATTAATTAATCCTCATGGAACAGTTGGTGGAGAGGTGCTGGCAAGTACTAAAAGCCCCGGCTTAGCCCCTTTATGTTGCTTTACGACTCGAAGGAGTGCGTAGAAAGCACGTGGGATGTGAAGCATATCCTTCCCTTGGACGAGTCGCATATGAAGACCTCTTTTGAGCTCTCTTCACGGCACTGCGAGCACACTCGCGTCGTCCTCTTGCCGCATACAACGCAATTCTTCTGCGCCCGCGCCGACGTCTCCGTTCCGTTGCGTGTCTTCTTCCTCTTCTTCGTCGGCGTTGCGTGCGGGCCGAGGCCTGATGTCGGGGTCAAGACAGTCGCGCCTTCACCAACTGACGCGCGAGTGCGCAGCCCGACAACGTCGTAGTTGTTGTCCACCAGCTCCAACGCCAGCTGCTCATAGAATTCGTTCTGTAGCATGGTTCGCAGCAGCCCCCTCCAGCCCGTGTGCAGCAGCCATGCGTCGACGATAACCATGCCCAGAAGAGACATGCCTACCCTCATAGACCAGTCGTGCGTCACGTATGTTCGCTCCAGCCTTAGGTCGTCCTGTCGACAGCGGTTATGCTGATCAATGCGCGCACAGGCGGAATAGTAGACCTCAGCGCACTGTGGCTGCTCGACCGTGAGCGCAACCCGTGCTGGGCCGGCCTCAGTCTGGCGCCAGTGACTGCGCTCGTACGGGGCGCCTGCTGCAGCGCTGGACGCGGACGAGATAAAGTACCGCCGCTCGCGGTCGACCCAGACCAAAGCCATCTCCGCCACGCCACCGTTTTCGTCCTCATGTGCGAAAGACAGCCAGCATCCCCTGTTTGCTACTGGCTTCGCCTTCAGTAGGCGCATGGGGAACTTCCTCGTCGCCGTCTTGACCACGCCGATGAAGCGCAGGCCTCGTGACCGCAGATGAGCTGTCGCCTCGTAGCTCGCAAAGTACGAGTCAGCACAAACAATGCGTGCTTCGGCACCAAGCCAGGGGCGCAGCAGTCTGTCCAGCACAACAGTGCCGTGGCCCAGCCCCTCCTCTCGCTCACTTCGACGCTCCTCCTCGTGCTGGGCCGTCGTCACCAGCTGCAATTGCATCATCACGCCACTCCTTCCGCACGCAGAGTTTTGGACTTCGCAGCCGTTCTCCGGCTTGCGGTCTATCGCCACATTATGTGGAAGCCCGTGCTCAATCCAGTGCCCGCCCTGCCCATACCACCGGCTCATGCTCTCGTCAACGCAGATGAAGTCGGACGGCACGAAGTTTGCGGCCCGATGGTGGTTGATGGCCTCAACGAAGTCATCAACTAGTCTCCAGCGGTGCTTCTCGGACAGCTCATCCGCTGTGCGCTCGCCCTGCTGGCTGAACACCAGGGAGGACCAGAAGTCCTCAAACCTGTTGCAGGGCATGCCAGTCTTGCTGCCAAAGCATGGAACGGAGAGCAAGCGGTTCCTCGCATTGACAGCCCACAGCTCCTTCCGCTTCCCGAAGGAGTATCTTGTTCCCAAGATGAGAATTGTAGTATAACGACGGACGCGCGCGCGGGGAGATTATTAACAGTGCGGCCGTGCACGGTGGACACGTGGGCGGGTGTGCCCACGTGTAGGGAGCGCGCGCGTGCCGAGCGGTCGTAATCTGGCGTACGTGTACAGTAGTGCACGTGTCGGCCAAGCGGTAGTCTACCAGTATGACGCGTGTACGCTAGCACACGTGGCATCCGTGCGGTAGTCTGTAAGCAGCGCGTGTGTACAGTAGTACACACGTGTAGCTGCAGCGTCCGCGCGGTAATTAGGAATTGAGGCGCTAGTTTTTTAATGGCGTACAGTACCTGGTACGCACTAGGCGGCAGGTACTGTATACTGGGACAGGTGTCCGAGGCGTCCCTCTGAGGGGTTAAGACCTGACACCCGTCCCCACCAGTAAACTGGGGCAAGCTCGCCCCCGTCCCTTTTGCGCCTACGTACGTCCGTTTCGGTTGTCCGCCGCGCGCGCTGGCTTCTAACCCGTTACCGGTCGCTCCCGTTTACGCACCACGGGGCGACTGCGCGTAACCGGCCAGTGAGCCACTCCCTTTTCGCGAGCTCGTCCGCTCGGTTCTATTAGCGCGTCGCGTCCACGCCGCGTGCTCCCTCGCTCAAGCCTCCGCCTCTCACCCAACCCAGGGCGGAGAGGAGTTATCCCACATTTGGTACTCTTGTGGAGGGGATAACTCTCGAGGTTGAGCCGCACGCGTGGTCGCTCGATCGCGCGCAGAACCGTACGGACGGAAAAGGTTGAGAAATCACCGCGTCGATCGCGAAGCGTATTCGACGATGAACCGACCGGAAGAAGGGGGAGACTCCGCCTCCGGGCGTCTGAGCACCCGCAGTGGCAGTGGCGCACCGCGCCCCCGGGTGGAGAACCCGGAAGCCCTGCTGCGACCGCCACCGCGACCGGGCCGCACGCGAGCGTCCGCATCGGATGTTACGCCGGCCGTGTCGGCAGGCACCGAGAATCGCGTCCAATGGATGGTCGACGCGATTCAGCCGCGCATCCAGGCCTGGGTCGAGGAGTTCCTCGCTACGGAACTCCCCCAGGTAGCGCGCGTATGCCTCGACCGAACGGTGCCCGCGCTCGTGGACGCGCACGTACGCAGCGCGATACCACCGCTTTTGGACGAACTTCTACCCGCTCAAGTCCAATGCGAGGTGGTGACCGCGCTCACCACTGTGGATGAAGAATCCCCGTCCGGTACGGCTCTAAAGGGAGCCATCAGCTCCGCCGTGGCCAATCGTCTGGCCACGACCTTCGCCGGAGCAGGAGTCGACGCACGCGAGCAGCGCGACTCGACCGCTCCGGATCCTACGCTAACGCACGCTGAACCGATCGGCGCCGCACCCGGGATCGGTACAATGGCCCCTCACCCGGAGGGTAAGACCATTTACCTCCCACCAATTTATGGTGCTACAGGAGGGCCCACAGAAAATGGCCCTCCCGTACTCGCCGATACGGCTGGCCCCCGCGGGACAGAAAACCGCCTGGGGCGCTTCGCGACAGAAAAGCGACAGCCGTATCGGTCGAGCAGAAGAAGCGCACCCGGCGCTCAAGGTTACACCTCGGAGGGTACAGAAAACCCCTCCGAGGAAGAAGACACAAGACGTCGCCACAGGGCGACGCGCAAGAACCGCGACGGACGCTACGCGCGATACCGCGATGCCGGAGGGGTCGGTTACCCCTCCGATGATAACCGCGACGGACGCTATACGCGATACCGCGATGCCGGAGGAGGTGGATACCCCTCCGATGACGAGGACACCGAGTCGGACGGATCGCGCAGAGGCCGGAGGAGGTGGATACCCCTCCGATGACGAGGACACCGAGTCGGACGGATCGCGCAGAGGCGACCGCAGAGGTCGCAATGCGCGCGACCGACGTCGGTTCCGGCGAGAAGACTCCGATCCGGAGGGCTACAGTAGCCCCGGCGGAGAAGGAGACCGCCACCGCAGGGGCAGAGACCGCCGGTCTGCCCCGAGGCGGGATCCGAAACGGCTGCCGGTGATCAGGCCGCTGAACGACCTGTTCACCAAGGCCGTCGACTACCGCACGTATAGGCTGGAAAATCGCAGCGCGCGCTACGACGCGAGTACCGCGCGGCGAGTTAACCGATATCGGAAGAAGTTGGACGTCCAGCTGAAAACCCACACATTCGGTGGTCAAGATCCAATCGCGGTGCTAGGATTTCTCGCGCGCTTCAAGATGGCCTGCGACCACAATGGGGTCAGCGAAGGCGCGGCCGTATGGTGTTTCCAGTTTTATTTGACTGGGCAGGCTCACGCCTTGCTCCAGTCCAGGCTACACGGGAACACCATGGCGGTCGATGCGGAGCAGCGCGATATGCTCGAAACCTACGCGGAAGTTGTTAACTTTTTATTGCGCACGTACGCGACTGACGAAGTTATTTCCGAAGCGGTCGGTGATGTCACCTCCTTCCGTCAGAGCTCTAATATGACGGAGGAGGTGTACAGTAACCAGTTGTGGGACAAGGCGTTGCGCTGCGGAACCGTATTTTCGGACAGGCGCCTGAAGTCCCTTTTTGTTGAGGGACTTCTGCCAGCGACGTGCGCGCAGGTGCGGAATTATCTCGCGACGCATCCGGGCGTGGACTACCAAGCGGTGGCACGCTACGCGCAAGCGATAGGCGAGACGCACCGCTCGGCTCGAAGACAGGCGACCTCGCTCGCGTCGCCTCAAGCACCGTCCGATTCGGTGAGAAGATTCACGCGCAACGCGCGGACAAGACCCGTGCTGTCGGTCGAGTCCCTGTCTGAACTCCCGACAGCGCGCGGAACCGAAACGGAGGAGATACTGGCGGTGACGGACCAGTCCGCGACGCCGAGCTCGCTTAGCTCGCCGCCGACTAGCTACCATCCGTCACCTGCCTCGTCCCCGGCGGGCGCGCCGATGGCGCCCGCCCAACACGGTGACGCGCGCGCACATCCGTACGGAAGGCCAGTACAGAACCAGCGGGTCCGGTTC